GATTGGCACAGAAGAGACTAGGACATAGAAAATCATAGACATGGTATTAGGCAGTGATTCCCAAACTGTATGCCGCGGCGCCCCAGGGAGCTGCGGCCTCTCTACAGGCGCCCACTGAATCCACTAAAAAGAGGTGATTTGGTTGATTAATCCAATGAATAAATTCTTACCAGGCTACGCATGATATCCTCTGGGACGCCGGTCAATACAGCCAGATGTAATGGCGTCAACTGTTCTGAGTCCTGAATGCGAGTATTCATGTCAACGCCTATCTGAATCATAAAGAAGATGGCCTCACGGTCGGCGGCGCGAATGGCATGATGAAGAACCGAGAGTCCCTGGTTATCCGGCTAAAGTAAAATATAATAAAGGTGAAATAAACTATAAAAAAATATTAAAGACTTGCAATAAATTTCTGGGTAGCATTAATATATTAGAGCATAATCAACAAATATGGTTAGAAAGATATAGCATATCGACTATAATCTAATTTCAGATCCTGTTTGGAGGGCTTATGAAGTTAAAATTTCAATCCTAGTTTAATGATAATGCATCACTAGAAGGTGAGGCAAAAAAGTATGGAAGAACAAAATTTTCTGTTCGGCTTATTTCCAGTAACTAACCTAAAGATATCAATATATTAAGATTGAGATGGCATGGCTTTAGATTCAGTCGCTATCTCCTTTGGCTGTGTTAAGTTCAATACGAATTGCAATGATACTAGGCCGCTTAAGTTGATGAAAGAGTGCTGGCATATTTTCCCATTATGATAGTCTCGCACAGATAGTTTGAAAACCCACTCATTGTGTACTAGGCTAGGGCGACCTGGTTTGCGCAACTTGGTCAGAGCGTAAGGGCGATATTGTGTAATGCACCCAGTCCTGCGTCTTCTGCTATAGTAGCCAGGTTAAGTTACAGCATCAGACTCCTGACTTACAAGAACGAGAACGTACGAGGGAACTCCTGAACTCTAAACAAACTAAGCTTATATCTATCATAAAATATTGACAATTTACCTGAGAATAAATTATTTAGAGTCTGAATACTAGTGGTTCTTCACTATTTTCCTAAATATCCTACTTGTCAGAGGCAGTATAATAATAAACTATCTCGAGAAGCATACATTAGAAATGGCTACAGCTATTAATTCAAGTTTAGAGAAACTGGCTATTCTTAAAG